GTCTCCGAGGTGGCGCTGGGGCAGGTGCTGTCTGGTTTCGGGGGCACGGCGCCCAGGAGAAGGTCGGAGGAGATGTTGGGTTGGTGGATGTCTATGGCGGCCGTGGTGACCATGCGCGCAGCTGGCTCAGGGACCCCGCTGTCTACAAAGAGAGCAAGGAGACCCCAGTCACACTCCGCCCTCAGCCGGGCCATGGCGCCCCCACCCCCAACCCACCCCACCCCCGAGGGAGGGCTGCTTCGAGTTGGGGCACAGGGCTGGGGTGCAGAGAGCGTGCCCCTGTGGAGGGCAACCGTGCAGGGCAGCGCAGAATGTTGGCAGCCGTGCAGTCCTGCCCACTCTTTGGGACACTCAAGGCCACTGTGGAAGCAGCTGCGTGGTTCCTTCGCGGCAGAGGGGCGTCTCCCTGCACTGTAGGGGGCATCTTCTGCTGTGGACCGCTAAGTCCCCAAGGGGCATCTTTCATCTTGCTCTTAGTCTGCTCTGCTGTTTCTTCAGTACCTGCCACCCCACCCCGGGGGAGGAGAGTGCTCCTACAGCTTCCTACACTGGAGCGTGGGCAGGCAACTGGCGTTGGCCACGAACTCCCTCGGAGAAGTGGCCTGTGGCACCACCAGGTGGAAGCTTTATGAGCTGTTGGTGCTCCATCCTGGTACCCGGCAGTGTCCTAGAATGGACAGTCCACCCGTAAGGATGAGGACATGGGATCAGAGTCCTCCAGCCAGCCTGCCCTGGATCTTTCCCGGCTTTATTTAAACCCCAGAGGTTGGGGGGTGGGGGAGGACGGTCATTCACAGTACAACCCAGCCCATCTCGACTAACTCAGCAAGCACAGTGTGCCGCCAGGACCAGAAACTGGGGTTTCTCCACCAGTGAGGGCGCCAGTCAAGGTTCTCACGGGGGCCGACATAGAGCCTGTGCCTCCAAAGATGGGTCCCCCTCTGTGTGATGCACTGCAGAGGGAGGCCCTGGCCCGTCAGGGGGTCTGGAGAGAAAGAGCCGTGGTGGGGCAAAGGGCTAGAGTGCTTGGCTGCTAACCACGAGGTCAGTGGTTCAAATCCACCCAGTGGTTTCTTGGGAGCAAGACCTGGCGGTTGCTGGCATAACAACCAGAGCCAAGAACGTGCTATGGAGACGTCAGCGTGGTGGTGCCTGGCTGGAAACACACGGTGAAGGGATTCGATGGGCTCTGGCAGCAACCATGTGGGGCGGTTTCCTCCCCAGCACTGTGGGGGAGCAGCTGCCAGAGGGGGTGGAACTAGCAGACCGGATGCACGAGGCTTGGATAAAGAGTGAAGAAGCCTCAAGGGGGGCTGAGTTGTGGACAGGAAAACAACGACAAAGCACACGAATGCATCACACAGACCCCAGGACACATGCACTACTCTGCAGGCCATTCTACCCTCACAGTGGCACAGACAAGGACGTCAGGGGTGTGGACGTCACACGCCAAGAACTCGGCCATCTGCGAAGGGCTGACAAGTCATTGAAGAACAGTCTAATTTTAAAAACAGCTTTCACCATAAGCTAAAACCACTAGGCTTCCCCGGGACTTCTCACAAGCAAGGGGGGAGCGTCTCCAGTCTTGTTACCCGGGTTACCGCCCCTTGAGAGTTGCTGAGTGGGAGGGACTGGGTTCACTTAGTGTTCTAGACCCCGGAACACTTCCCACTCGAGGGGTCCACACCCAGCCCCTTCCGGCGATTCCAGAGCAGCCCAGGCTCCGCTGTACTTTGTTTGTGGGACCCTCAGCTCTGTCCGGCACAGGCACTTGCTGGGACTTGAATGTGCCCAGTTCCCTGCCTGCATTTATGGTTCTCAAGTGCAGGCTAAGCCTTGATCTTTGAAACCACGCCGAGCTGTCCCTGGCCTCGATTTTAGGTGTAGGTCACATGTGGTGTGTGGCTGTGAGAGAGGTACATGCAGGACAGCACCCCTCCCCTTCCAGGCTGTTGAGACTCACCGCTGCTGGGCCCGTTGTAGTACTGGCTGATGTAGCTGTTCATGTCATCTCTCGCCTCAGCATCTGTGGGAGGAGCCCATGAGCTGGGAAGGGCGGTGCTGAGGCCAGGTCACAGCCCTCCCCAATGCCCCCATCCCCACCCCACCATCAGAAGATGAAGCGTCTGCCGCAGCAGCTCTGCCCCCGTGTGACACCGTGCCTCCCCAGCCTGGTGGTGCTGTGGTCACACGTTAGACTGTGAGCTGTGCGGTCGGCAACCACCAGCCGCTCTGTGGGAGAAAGACTGGCCTTTCTACTCCCACAGGCAGTGACAGTTTGGAAACCCAGACGGGGCCGCTCTGAGTCAGCAGTGACTGGATGGCAGTGAGTGGGGTTGGGTTTTTTTGAGACATAGATGAAGGGCTCTGGACACATACTTAACACGATGTTTTATTTTTAAAAAAGAAGTGGTAGGGCCACAGTGTCTCAGCTGCCCTGGGGAGTGGGCCGGACTGGACACCGGGACCTAGATTCTGAGGATGCATCAGGTAGCAGCATGGCCACAGGACAGGGATTCCTGACTAGGTGACCTCAGGCATTGAGTCCCCCTGAAGGTCACGGGGTCCTCAGTACAGGAGCCTCAAGGATCCTGCGCACCCAGTTTGCACAGACCTGAGGCACCCTCTCAGTGGGGGCCTGGGGTCCCCCATCTGCAGATACACAGTGGCACAGGACTGGCGCTTAAGGACAGTGCTCTGGGCTGAGGCCCCATGCAACACATGGAGCCATCAGGGTCCCTGCCACCTGCTCCATCCGTTCCTGGCCTGGGGAAGATGCTCGGGTGAGCAGACAACTGGGAAGGTGAGACACTGAGATTGAGGA